TGTTTCGTTAAAGTTGTTTATGGGATCTCACACTACTTGGCATGTTCCCTGCACATGAACTCATTGCACGGAGAGCAAGAGGAGCTTTGTTTGTGGAGTTTCTGAGATACTCAAGGGATGTGAAAATTGAAATCTTGCTGGCTCTGCTGTTGCTTTACAATTGACTCTAAAAATCCTGTTTTGTGGAATTGCAGAGAGTTCGTTGATAATTAGCCTGTAGGGTTCCCAGAAAGGAAAGCAATCAACACATTTTGTCAGAACGAAGTCCTCTAATGTGCTTTAATAACACAGAATAAAAATTTAACCTGTCAGTTGCCTTTTGCTGCAGACTGTAATCTGAATACTAAACCAACGTGCATTCTCTGGGGTTTTTTTGAAACTCGGTGCTCAGGAGAAATAGAGGGGCTTTCTCTGAGGTCCTGCAGTGGTTTGAAGTGTGTGCTGGGGGGAGGCTGGCTGCAGGGTGCTGGCCTAGAGGACCAGATGAGGGGCATGCATTTTCCTATGCTGATCTGTTTTGCTGTGCAAAGTGTGTTCCTGAAATCCGGACCATAAGCTTGATTTAAAAAAATTTTTGTAACATGAAGGAAACTGGTCTTTAAAAGCTCCAGGCAAAAATTTTACCTCTTGGCTGCTTGCCATTGTCTGTCTTCTCTAGGCTGTGAAGATGCTAACTGAATGCAGTACCTCATATTTTTGAGTTTTTATTTCCTCAAGCATTTGTTTGATAGGAAAGAGGCTGTGTAGGGTTCAGCATCTCCTTTGATCTCACTGTCGTGAGGCCCTCTGCAATGCTTATAGAGAAGCATGGGACTGAAGCTGAAGAAGCACTGAAGGTGGGGCAGGAGCTTGCTTGCTCTGCAGTCTCCAAGTCTTCTGTTCCACTGGAGAGACAGCAAGGAGGCTGTGTCCCTCTCTGAAGCTAAGCAGAAAGCAAGTCTGTTTGACTTGGGCCTTTGTTAAATGCAGGAAACTTGAATCCTGTACAATGTTAACTTCCCAGGAGTCCTTAAATACACAAACCAAGCAGTGAAAGGGAATTGTCTTTTCTTCTTTAAGCATTCCTCTCTGCTCCCCCACACCCCAGCTTTCCCCTCCTATGATGTACATTTTCAGTAATGTACTCAGCTGGGAAAAGGGAATGGTCAGAACACCCTCCTGGGACTTTATTTTTTTTGCCCTTTCACTGCCCTCCCATAGAGCACTCCAAGTGTCTGTCCAGCTGCCTCAGTTTGAGACAAGGATATTTCTCCTGTTCCTGGAGATTTCTTTTTTCTCTTAAGATTCCTCAGTTCCTTTAATGGGGTGAAGAGCTCCAAGTGAATGCAACACAGTAGGTTTATTAATGGAAGTTTTGTATGGGATAGCAGGGAGCTTAGATCTCAACCATCAAAGTGGGTGAGGGTAGTGATGACTGCTAACTGGGTTCCACTGCCTGCTCTGAAAGTAAGGCAAACTCTACAACTTTGTAGGAATTTTATTGCTTTAAAATACACCCTGTCAATGCAAATAGGGTCTGGTAATGTCAGGTTTATTGTTGTGATTGCATCTGTATAGGAAGACATTTCATTGTTTGTAGTTCATTAATTGATAGTTGTAGTAATCCAGCCCGTCACCCTGTGCAGGGACAGCGAGCACCATGCAGTCAGTCCTTGCTGCCCTCTCTAAGCTTTTGGTCTTTTCGGTGGCCGCACACAGGAATCGAATGGCTGCAGCAGACTCACTGGCAGGGCCAGGCCCGGCTTTTAGGGTGTCCAGCAGAGACTCGGCATCTCGTTTGCACTGCAGCTTCTGCAGCAGGAGGCCCGTGCCCACACAGGGACCGCAAATGTGCCTTGAGAGAGGATTAAGAACACGATTAGAAAGTTTTAGACTGGGGAAATGTGCCTGCTGTTCCATTTCTAAGAGGAAGCAAACAGTAGCTGGGACGAGACAACTTCTCTGCCTGGGCTGGCGGCTGTCGCTCTGTGGCTGCCCTGCCCTGAGTGCTCCTGTGTCTCGCCATGGGCTCCTTCTCCCAGGTGTCCTCTAGCATTTCCTAGCCTCAAGAGTATCAGAAATACTGCTCTGAAAGGCCATGTATTTAACCTGATAGTTTTATCACTAAAGATCAATACACATACGGTATGTGTTTAAAACTTTGTCTCTAATGGCGTAATGCTCTGGGGAAGCTCGCAGGGTGTACATGGTTAGAAGAGCTGACTGAACTGAACGAACACGGTATTGATACAGCCTGACCCCGCGGCTGTCAGCGGTCATTAAGGCCTGGAAGTGGTGAATGTCTGAAGGTTCGATCCGTTAATGCCTGTGCACTCACATATATTTGTATTGATGGGAGTTTGTCCTCTTTTTCTGCATTACATCGATCCTCAGGCTATGGTTTGTTGCTTGGTACATTTGCTTGCTGTTCTCTGTAAAATACAACTCTCTGCCACCAGAATTTGAAGTCTATTTGTTAAGAATTTGTAATCTACTTCACCAACTTTCAGTCAGGTATGTCATCAAGTTTTTCATGACAGAACTTTGCTGTGATTTTTTGTCATTTAAATACTTGCTAACTTAAAGCTTGGAAAAATCTGTGATGGTTTCCCTCACCTCAAGTCACTGTTCAGTTCACTGGAAGAAGATGATACTGTGATGAGATGTACAAAGGCCTCAAACCATTAGGTCCTAAATGGGGCACATTTGCAAACAACCAATGCACCCTTGCAATTGACACTCAATCTTCATATGCCCCAGAGAATTCAGCTATAAAATCGAGTTAATGCAGGAAGAGACTGCCTTGGAGCTCAACTATAATTGCAACTGCTTTTCAGTTATAGTCCTACTTGCATAAAAGGTATACCACTTGGAAATAAATGCTTGCAGTTACAATAAACACAGCAGTCAAAATATCCTCCAAAGGCTGGAAGTTTTCTCAGTGAGCAGCTGAGATGATTGAGTAGCTCAAATAAATGTAGAGCTGGTGAAAACAAAGCTGGATCTGAAAGCAGCATTTTCTCATGCGTTGATTTTATTGAAAGTGGGTAAAGCAGAAGTTAGAGGTCTAAATAAGCCAAATATCAGGCCCACTCACATTCTGTGAAAATAAGCTCAAGTCTGCGGACATACCAATTGTAAATTTGTTGAGTTCTTTCTTGATGTTTTATTCCAAATGCATTTCCCTTTCCCTCAAGAAAAATCTAACGTAATCAATATGAACGGTGTATAAAGTTGAGGGGGAAAATTGGAACCAAATTTCTTTTTATACAGAGAAAGAGACTACGAGAAAGTCTGCTGATGACCATTTTAATCAAAATGTGAAGAAAGTGCAGACATTTTCATGGATAATTGATGAGACATGGGGAAAAAATGCAGAAGAGTTGAATGGTTTTGATCATCCGAAAGGGAGAATCTTGAAAATCTTAATTTTTGTAATTTCTCAGTTTTGTCTAGCAATGGTTTCAAAAACATTGCATTGTTTTTAGAAAAAGTGTAATCAGTCCTCGTTGCTGCCATAACTTTTTCATAGATTTTAGCAAGTTGAGATGAGACTGTTTGGAACTGCAGTGTGTCAGTGCACTCCCGTGTTCCCTGCTCACAGATGATCCGTTATAAAACGGAAGAAAACTGCAGACCCTCTCCTGCATTTCTACCTACAGTTCAACAGCCTGGCAGTTTGCCTATCTGTGTGGCTGGTAGGGGAAATCTTACTCTATGGTCTGATTTTTTTTGCAGGAGCCCTGCCTCTTTTACCCCCATGGTCTGGTCCTTTTTTTTTTTTGGTCAGTCCCATCCTCTGCTTGACAGTCCCTGCCTCTGATTCACCTTATCTTTTAAGATTATGTGAAGATGTAGGCTCACAGGAAAGTCCCAGTGCTTTTGGGGATGAGAGATTATAAATGCGTGGGCAATACAGAAGAAAGAGAGTAATTTACTGATTGCCCAGATTAGTATAGAATCCTAATTGTGCTTGCTGTTGAGGTACTTGGAAATACTATTATAGCACTTTGAGTTGGAAAATTTTTAAATGAGGTCTATGTGGGAAAGGGAGCAGGATTTGTTTCTGAGAATTTTCATTTGTTGGTAAAGATTTCTTACTCTTTAAGTCCTGACACAGCATATTGGAACTGCTAACTACGTAAATGTATCACGTAGCTATTTTCCATAACAAAGGACAGTATTTATGAGCTGCCCTGCTAAACTGTCACATTTTCATCATTGCTCAACATTTGTACTGTAACTCTTGTGATCTGCTGCTTAATTCTTTTGTCTCTGACAGACACCCATTTAGGAGTCTTGGAAAATACAGAGTGGAGCCAGTTAACATTGAATGATCTTAAAACTAGGTTGAACTTTTGTTTTCATCGGGGAGGAAGATGATGCCATCAGCTAATTTGGTTGATCAATAGCCCTGCTTGCGATAAGGTTTCAAAGCTTGTGGCTAAAAGCTGATTGCACAGGATCCAAAATAAATTTGATCTATTGGTTTCCACAAATGTAGCATAGCCCAGGATGATGCTTCAGTGCTGATGCTTAACTAGTTTTAATAATGCTGACAGACTAGCCTGCTGTGAGGACGCTGTAATACATGAACCCGTGGCAGCAGAGCACTTACTTCAGATATTTTTTATGGTAGCATGGAGCTGTCACTACTCTCCGGTAAAGAGCAATCGTAAAGGATCATTATTCCGAGGCTGGGAAGCATTACAGTCTTTGCTGGGCAAGTTTCATGATGTCTTTCATTAATGCAAATTTTGATCCTGGTTTCCTAAAAAGAGAGAAGTACTGGCAAGAAATTAGACTCTGTTCGTTTTAGCTGGAGAGGTGTGAGTTACTGAAAAATGAGGAGAAGTTCTGTGGCTGAAGTGCAAAATAGTGTGCGAGCCCTCTTTGTGACAAGCATTTGGGTATGCAGCTTCGGAAAGGATCCAGCCATGTTCTTTCTTCATGTTGGGTGGGACCATATGCTGCTGGGAAGGTGGACTAAAGTTTAACTGATGCTTTCATCTCTATTTCAGTGACTATATTATGGCTACGGGGCTAACAGAGGTCACACAGTCACCTGAAACGGGAGAGACAGTTGGGGAGTGCACAGGTAAGCAGTTATCTTGGAATGTATAGCTGATTTGAAAGTCAAGATTTATTTTCTTCAGGTCAGAGGGTCTGTAGGGACTTGTTTTGCAGTGTTGTTTTAGCTTTTTGTAACATAAAAGCATTTTCCGTGTGGCTTTGTCAGCTGGAAATATTATGGGAAGGATCTTTTAATGTGCATCACTGGAGGGTGATAACCTGATGGAAGGATATTCTTTTCGATTCTGGCTTTGATTTTCAAAAACAGGACTTTGGAGCTTGAAGGGGTGATTGTTGTGCCTGTTTTGGTGGGTCCTGCAGTGCTGGGAGCTGAGCCCGTTAGCCAGCCTCTGTCTGTCTGTGGGGGCTCTATCAGTAACCCCACTGCAGCCTCATGCTCTGCTTCTGGCCACAGGCAACCATTTGTTGCCTGTTCTTTAATCTAGTGGCATGAGCTGATGCAAACAGCCACGAGGAGATGGAATAATGGCCAAGAAAGGAGAATCCCTTACTTATGCCAAAGAGTTGTCTTAAGTAAAGGAAATACTCTTGAGCAGATAGTTGAGTATGAGGAATAGCGGCATGGTAGAGGCATTTCAGGAGAAGTGGCTGGCATATCACTTGATTTTTTTTTCTTTTCTTTGGCTAATGTATTACAACTGTCTTAAATGTTTGTGTTTCAAAGGTCATTTCGCTTTATCTTGTTCTATGGATGTACATAAGGAAGTCAGAGAGAATAGAAGATCCCAAAATTAACTGTTTAATTTAAATATAATAATCAAGCTTCCAAATCAGATGTTCCCTATGATTTTAACCATTTCAATTTGGCACTTGAAAAAGCGTCTTTTTCTCTTCTTGTTTTTGGGAAGAACCAGGCAAGGAGCAGAAGGGCATACATTAATTCACCCTGTGCACAAGAGAAACAATGAGATAGGTAGTACACCAGTAGTAAAAAAATACAGAATAAACAAACTTTACAGAGAAAGAAATATGCTTACTCCTGCTCCTTTTCTGTTACAGTGGCTTAAATCGTAGTTAGCAAAAGCAACTAATTCTTTGGAAAGGTTTTGCTTTTTAGGGCAGTAGCCTTCAAATGTAATATTTTATTTTTAATGTCATAAACTTGAAGATTAGTAACTGTAAGAATTCAAAAATCATGAGTCATTATTCACCAGTGGGTGAAGGGGAGATAGGCATAGTTGTCTGAGCTTGGATTTTCTCTCCTTGCTTTGACTGGATTTTGGTTATGCAATTATTTTTTCCATTTTAAGTAATAAGATCCTCTTCTATATTAGTAGTTCAAGTATCACAGAGCACTCTAACAATTCAGTGATATGCTGAGCTACTTCACAGTACACTGAAATGTAGCCATCTTTAAATTAGATGTGTCATCCTTTTAACGGTGTGTGAAACCAGCGCACAACTGTTCGCAGCAGGAAACGAGTATGAACACCGTCTTTCTGAACCGTGTCTTTATTGCCAAATGCTCTGTGTGCAGCACTAAATGTCTAGTGGTGTTTTTATCTTTTTTCTTTTTTTTTTTGCATAATAATATGGCAAGTGCCCATCCTTTGGAACTGCAGGGAAACTTACTGTTCTCTCATTCATCTGAAACAGCTGAAGGCATGCAGCTGAGCAGAGCGTGGCTGAAGAGGAATTAATGCTGGAAGGGGTTTGCCCTGCACATGAGTAATAAGTTGGAGGCTAGAGAAGGCACTGAAGGAGCTGATGTGTCTGCATCAGAGGACTCTCTGTTGCACAATGATACTCGAGTGTTGTCCCGCGCCAGCTGATGTTTACTCATTGCCAGTGTTTGCAAATCCTTTCTATGGGCTCCATTCTAAAGTTAATACGACTTTTGATCTGAACAAGTATTTGAAGCATTACCTTGGCAGTGCTGTCCTTTGTGGTAGGACTTGCGTCTGTTTCTCTTAAATATCCTTAGGATGATGTCTATTGTTACCGTGTTTTGAGGTTTTTTTAACATTCCCCTGGTTCTTGGGAAATACCAGCATCTAACTGAGCTCATCAGTAATACTTGCAGTAGAATCAAACTTGCTTTCTGTCTGTGCCACTGTCAGATGCCTGGTGTACATGACAATGTCCTTGTTTTTCATTTAGGCTGCCTTTAAGCTGCAGAGCTCTTTGCATGTAGCAAAGTCTACTATTTTCATTGGACTGTGGTAGCAGATATTGTTGAATTGATAATTTTGGGGCACTGCTTTCGTGAAACTTCTTGATCTTCTGTTTTTCTCATTGCAAATAAACCAACTCAGTTTTGACAAGTTTCTTGGGAGTATACTATATACATTGTCTAATTGCTGTTATGAATGGCAGTAATGGTAGGGAGGCACTTCTAAGGGCTCTCTAAAGGACACTCAACACATTTATTTGAAAAGCACTGTGGTCTTGCAGTTGCTGTGACCTGTCTTCTCTTCCCAGTTCTTGCTCTGGGTGCAGCCTGAAGCTCATTGAGCCCCATGAGAGTCTCAAGAAATCCAAAACCTTGGGGTCAGCTCGGTAGGCTGGGGCAGGCAATTTAACCTGTGTGTTTTCATAACTATTTGATTCACTTACTGCCTGATAAACAGCCATGGAAGATAAAAAGCTCTTCCACTGATAAATCCTCCGTAGGAGTGCTGCATCCCATTATTATTCAGATGAGTGGGACTCTGCTGATAGTTTTGCTCTACATGGTTTGAAAGACAATTTAGTCTCGGTGACATCCCGAGTCACTTGAAAAGCAGTGGGCAGCTCTTCCCTGGCTGCTGCTGCAGAGGTGACTGTTTCATCAGACCGTGCGGGACAGCGCAGCAGCACCCTTGTGTATCCCAGTGCCTGGTGCTGGCACTGGTCTTGAGAGCAGGGAGGAGGCAGGGTGAGTAGATCTCCGTATCATTGTTTGTTTCTCAAAACGGCCACTGTCTGATGCAGCTGCGTGGTGGCACAGTTTCAGCCCAGATAAGGCCCACTGGCAGAGATCCCTGCCCGTACAGGGCACACGTTGAGACAGAGCATCTCCGACTAAATCATTGCTGGGAGAAGACAATAATTGTGCTGAAATAATGCCTTGCTTATGAACGAATCCTCCAGCTGTGGGCATTAATTATGGCCACTGCTGTAAAGCATTAATTGAACAATGAATTTAGCTCAGATAGGCAGTGATGTTATTGCTCTGCATATATATTTAAGTCAATCACAGAGGTCTTAATACAATAGTTTGGCCCAAACCACTCCAAACTGACCCCCAATGCAAGCGTCGGTGACAAAATGCAGCACTTGTGTGCTGGAAGAAAACATAAATAAGATTGTTAAAGAATCGTAGATTATTAAAAATGAAAGAAGTTAGTGATGTTTTGTATGCTTTCTTTTGTTCTTTTTCTATTTTCAATTTGAAAATGGAAAATCCAAGATCAGTTGAACAGTTTTCTGTGTTCTTAGGGCTGCTATGTTTGAAGATTTCATGTCCTGCAGGGCAGTGTCTTAATTTAAGTTTGCTTTATTGTCCTTGGAGAAGTTGTTGATTTTATTTTGGGGCAGTGGTTTAATGTGGCAACAGATATTTTGGTTTTAGAGTTTATAAATTCTTTTGCCAGCTTCTATCTTTTTGCTGAATGTTGAATATCCTTCAAGTGTTGTCTCCTTACAGCACTGAGTAAAGAGAAAGCAAAACTAAATGGACCTAAGTATAGAACACTATGAGTTAAAGGCATCAGTATTTATTGAAAAGACATCAGTTAAAGACATCAGTAGTTATTGAAAATATATCAAACGTGATTAGCATGATCACTGTTCAGTTGTAGCTAGATACATTCTCTATATAGGGCATATTTTTCATAAACTGGAACCTAAGTAGGCATTGCTATTGTCAGCGTAATGCCAATGTTTCTTTATAGGCAGCAAATATAAGAACTGCAGCTTCGCCTTTCATGGGACTCCAGCACTGAATTATTTACAAAGGAGCTGACTAAAACTGAATGGGCTCTAGTTTTGAGGCTTCCTCTAGAATTTAAGAGGTAACATTCTGCAAGCTGAGTAACACCTCCAACTTCCATAAATTTTTGTTTTGCTCATGTTGCAGGAAAGAAAAAATCCAAATTTCAGACTTTCAAGAACTTCTTTGCCAAGAAGAAAAGGAAAGAGCCTCCACCTCCCAGAGGGGAGAGTAATTTAAAACCTAGCCAGTCCAGCAGCGATGTCAGCATCTCTGTGCTCGACACTACTGCACTTCATTCACCGAAGGAGGCTGGGTAAGCTGGTGGGGAAGGAAAGATATAAATAAAAGTGGACCTCTCACAGCTGTAGGATGAAAGCATGAGTTGGCCCCTTAGGAGCAACCTCTCTCCGAGTTTGTGCAAAACAAGCCTTAATGCTGATAAAGGAATTCCAGGAATTTCCTCTTTCTTTACTGCAAAAGTCAGCTCGGAGAGGAAAGGGAGGGCAGTCAGAGGCAGGGGTGATCCAACCTCTTAGTCTAAAACTGCAGATAGCCCAGATCGTTTTCATTGGTTTTAGGGTTTAAAATCTGTCCTGGAAGGTCTTACGATCAGCACCTTTACAAGAGGATGATGAATGAATACATAGAATACCTGGGAAGTTGAATTGCTGTTTTGTTGCATCAATGGATGGGGTAAAGGGAAAGAAGTATTTTTTTTCTATTATCACTATGAGATTGCTGTTCTAGCTTTCTTATGTAGCCATTTATATGTAGATAACTGAAGGCCTGTAGTTTTGTGTCAGCTGCCCCTGCAGGGCTTTGCCAGTAGGGATTGTAAATCCTTAAGGTGTGTCCAGAGCAATTCTCAGATCCCTGAATGATATCAGTTCAAAAACTTGTCTTTTTTCAGATAGTGTAATACAAGCTATTTGCTTACCCTGCTGACACTGTTTCACTGATAATCTTAGACCATCAAGCTACACAACATTTCCACTGCACATCTCTGACTGAATCTGAGGTGGAACATGGTTATGTCTCTCTCCAGGGATGTCATGGATTGTTATTTGGCAACCTATAATTTGGGTGTTTTGCAACTCCTCATGCTCCTCATACTCCGCTGTTAGCTGCTCAGCCACGCCTTGGGTTGTGGAGCTAACAAAGCATGACAAAATGTTGGCCACATCCTATGGTTTGCAGTGTTTTGTTGGAGGGGACATCGGATGAGTGTGTCACGGGCAGAGAGCATGGATAGGTGTCTTGAATGGGATGTGCTGAAATCAGCATTGCTGCCACATGCTTTGTACCATTAACTGGCATTCAGTGGAGCTGGACACTGCATTTCTTCTGGTGGAACAGCTTAGAGATGTTAGTTTCTCATGGGTGCTTGTTCTTCCTTGACCCACCTTTCCCTGCTCTCTCTGTTGAGATCTGGGAATGAAGCAACAGTCTCTTTGTTTTGTTTGTTAGCATAACAGCAACAGGGTAAGTGGCCACACAACCAGTCCCCTGGGGTAAGGGGAATTAGAGTGACTCAGCTCACCCAGTGCAAAAAGCTTAGGAGCGGCTGAGCTTACTCCATCAGCGCAGAGATCTGGCTTAAAATCAGCCTGTCTGCTCCAGAGGCAGTGTGGGTACAAACTCTGTCTCTTGCCTTAACCAAGATCTTCAAGTCCAATTGCTATTTACCCCGGCACTATCCTCCAGCGATTATAAACTGTTTTGCAAGATCAGAGATCAGGAAGTGAGTAAAACCATTCTGTTTTTTCTCTTAGAGATAGGATTAGAGGGACTACCCAAAAAACCTAGAGGATATGTTTGTGCTCTTTGAAAATCCTATAACATCCAGACCCTTCATGGCATGCTTTGTAAGTACCTAGAGAGACTGAACTTTGGAAAACCTGATCCTGAAAGCCAGTGGAAATACAGCTTGTGAAAGGTTTAGAGCAGGACCCTGAGCTTTGCAGTTTCTGGCATGCAGAATATCAAAACCAATCCTACAACAGTGCTACTGTTTGTTTGTTCTTGAGGCAGAAGCACTGCTTAAAGCATGTGCCAGGGATGCATTTTTTTTCTGTACCATTGAAAGTTAAAAAGCTTTGAGCAGGAAAAACTGCTGGGATAATAGGTAAAATTGTCCTAGTCTTTGTAATGAACTTCTTTAGCAGGAGTTGTTCTGAAGAGAGTGCGTGCCTGAAGGAGTTGTGTCCCCTGTCTTGCCCCTACCTCAAAGTAGGAGATGGCACAGGCCGTGAGGAGTTTAGGAACAGCTTTACTGCTGTCCATAGAGTCCCGTCATTTCCTCAGTCGTGACAGCTTAAGCGTTGATAAACAAGCATGAATTGAGCATTTGTATAAGGAAATCAATGTGGATATACAGTGGCTAAAACATTTGGGGGCTTAGCTAACAGTAGGTCTTTAGCTTCAGCACAACTATAAATACACCGCCTGGAATTGCATATGAACGTATAATTGCACATAAGAGACTTATCTGTACTAAAGCTGCAGTTAATTCTATATTTAATCCAGTGCTCTTTTTGTGACTGCCAAAAGAAAAATACAGTAATTCTCTTGCAAACATATACGTATGCAGAGAGAGAAAGAAAGAAACAGATCCTATACCGGCAGTCTCAAGAATAAGGAAACCTCAGCTTTTATTGGTAATGAATTCCAAGTAAAGAAAGTGAGGAAATTCCCAATAAAAAGGGTTAATACACATAATTAATGCACATACATGCTTTGCAGTAAATGAAATATGTCAACTAATAATCAGTATACATTACAGTAAATA